CTAGCATGCCTAGGTTCCAAATGGAACCGAGCACCTTGGTTCCAAATGGAACCCAGCACCTTGGTTCCAAATGGAACCCAGCACCTTGGTTCCTTTGAACCCAATGCCTGGATTCGATGAAACCTAGGCGCGGGTTCTTTTCCCCTTCTCATTTTCTTTTTCTTCTTTTTTTCTTCTTTTTTTCTTCTGTTTCTTTGTTCTTCTATTTCTTGTGTGGCTTCTGCTTGCTTGAATTTGAAGATCTAGCTACTGTTGGTGTTGATTGAAGAGATATTTTTGTGTCTTTTGCATTTTCCTTTTCTTACAGATTTGGTATAAGTTTGCAGTATGATTGATTTTTTGAATCTTTACAGATCTGGTATAAGTTTGCAATGTAATTGATTTTTTTAATCAAATTTATTAGCCATTATTATTGTGCAAGGAACCAGATTTGGGTTCCATTAGAGAGGAGGTTTGGGGAAAAAGGAGAGGTTTGGTGATTCGGATTCCATTTTCCTTTTGGCGATCATGTGTTGATCGGTGTGGTAAGGGATGACCGGAGCAATAAGGGACGATCAATGCTGGATGCGTTGCAAAATGAAGAGGCATTAGAGGATAGAGAGGGACGAGAAGGGAGAAAAAGAAGGGTTGGAAGATGAAGATGGGGTGTTTAAGGAATTTAAAATTTTTTAATATATAAATTAATTAAAATGATATGGACAACAAAAATAACAAGTTGGGTTAAGTTATTTTCCACGTCATTAAAGGATTAAAACAAGAATTGATTTCGTGGCAACTTAACGTTCCATTTGGCACTTCTGTTGACGGAAGGACAAAATTGGTCCCAAAAATTGAAGTTCAGGGATTTTTTTAGTACTTTTTGAAGTTTAAGGGTAAACTTAGTTCAAAAATGAAAGTTTAGGGACTGAACCAGGGATTTAACCAATAAAAAAGGAAATTTAGGTTTTCCTGCCTTTTATTATGTCGGTCCAACCCTTTGTTTTTTCAACATCCCCAAGATTGAAGAATGAAACAACTTGGTCCCTCAATAAAATCTCCTTTCATGTTAGTCATCTCACACCTAAATTAATTGATTAATTATACATAATACTCAAAATTTTAAGGTATTACAAATTAGATCGAGTGATTAAGTCAATTTAACTAAAGAAATCTAATTAAGATTAAAAAAAATTTCTTGATTATATTTTTCTAGTCTCTTAAATTTTCTATCTTAATTTAGTTAAGAAATTTTCCTTAATTTCAATCAAAATTCTTTCTCCAAATTAAACTAATCGCTCAATTTGATTATAAATATCTAATACTATTTTATTATATGTTCTAGTAAATGTGAAGAAGACATCTATTAATTCTTTTTAGTTTACTAATTTTTATAATTTTTGAACTTTTAGAATTAAATTGTTACATTTTTAATTTTTAAGGATTAATCCTATAGCTATTTTATTTTAATTTTAACAGAGAATTAACAGATTTTGTTAATTTAGATGCTAAAGCTAAAAACAATAATACAAAACTAAAAAAATAAAGAAACTAATCCCACTAGTCTCACTAGGTGGATAAAAAATTAAACAAAGGGTTATTCTAATTTGTATATTTAGGATACTGATTAAAAGTTTTTTAAAAAATAAAAAATAATATTTAATTTATCAACTGTCTAATTAAATTTATTTACATGACAAGGACACTAAAATTAATGTTTACTTTTATATTTTCTTATACAAATTTATTTTAAAAAAATATCATTAATATGTGCTCTTAAAAAAATTCATAAATAAAAGTTGAATATTTGACCCGTTATGCAATTAACAGTCAAAGTTAACAGCAAAATGGATGGCATCCAATTAAGGATGACATTGAACAAAAAAATGATAGTAGAGGGATGACATTTATGGTGTAAGAAAAGTAGAGGGATGGCATTGAATAATTCCTTAGTAGAGGGATGGTAATGAACATTTTCACAAAGTATGAGAACTACAATTGGCTTTTTAACCCATTTATATTTTGAAGAAGGTAATTAAAGCAAACTGGTGTAGAGATAATTTTTTTTAATAATATTTTTAAATGATTTTATATATCAATAAATAAATAAATATATTTAATATTATATTTTTTAAATATATAAAAAATTAATCATTTAAAAATGACACAAATACAAATAAAAGTAATATAAAAATATTATACCAAAAAAT